AGTATATATAATATTGTATGTGTATAATACATATATTATTTATTGTATTTAATCTGTTTTATCAATAAAACTGAATTTTTTGCGCACAGTAATAGCGATTTCGGCTTGTTTACATCGACTGCATATTTTTGGTGTTCAATCAAGAAAGGGAAGACACGTGTCTGTCGTTTTGTCTAAAGAAAATTTTTCGCTTTCCTTATATTTTATTATATAAGACAATGTTTGGCAAAAGCTCTTACACGACTCTCAAATCATTTAAAGAAAACTTCTTATGTCCTTAATTTTACGTACTTAATTTAAACGGTAAAACATTCTCTTCTACACTTCGTAATCGGACGATGTCATTGGTCGTCGCACACAAGTATCGCGGAACGGAATACAGGAATCATTATTTTCAATTGCGTTCACGCATCTACGTTTGCGTTGTTTGTGCGAAAATGTTACGTAACGAGATTCTCGATGTTAGACAAACTGTAAATTAAATGTTGTCCTTAAGAAGTGAAATTGCGTGTGCATGAAGTGTGAGCTACGTTAGTAAGAATGGTGTATGAATGAGCCCTTATGATCAACTTTTTTGGTATGGTAGATGGAAGTTAAATGGTGTGAGTAACGGGTAGAAGTGTGTGTGCGTGAAGTATGAATGATGATAGTGTAAACGGTGTATGAATAGACTGTTATGTAAGTCTTTGAGCGATGTCCCATTGATCGGAAATCTATAGCGGAACGGAATGTGCGGAACCAGCTCGACCAATCGTAACCACAGAATAAGCGAAGGAAAGAAAACGGAATGGCTATGATTGGTCGAGCTGGTTCCGCACATTCCGTTCCGCTATAGATTTCCGCTCAATGGGACGTTGCCCTTTGAGTGGATATTTATAGTGTACTGAATGTTGTGATTAAAGGGTGAAACTTTGTGAACGTGATGTGTGGGATACGCTTGTGTGAATGTTGTATAAATGTTTCCTTAGTGAAATGTTTGTGTATGTATGTATGACGGACTGAATGTTGTAGGTAACGGATGAAAATGTATGTACATGATGTGTGAGTGATGTTTGTGTGAACAATATACGAACTTTATAGTTAATACGTCTATAGTGCTAGTACTGTGCCGACCTGAAGCCCAAATGTTACGTTGCAGACAATATAGTAACCTCTCTTTCGCGCAATGTCCAGCTGCTTTGTGCGCATGCGGTGAACATTTAAGCACGTCTGGGCATTTTGTTTTCTCGCGTTCTTTCTCTCACTTTCCAATGGTGTGTCTCGCTCGCACTCGCTTAGTAGACGCGCCTGCGCATAATGATTCTCGACTATTTATGCCCATATGTGGACTTAGCGCGTCTCTCTTTCTCTGGTCTCGTGTCTCTCATTGCGAAGTTACGCGACTAGCAATATAGAAGTATTACATATATGGATGATTGCTACAGTTAGTTAGGACGGCGCCCGTTGGCGCTACTTACCGGTAGGTTATACCGTCCCTCTTACCCCTAGCTCCCGCGTCTACGAAACGATTCAGAGACCGCGACTGTACTTGTGATATCCGCGGAGAAGAAGCTAAGTTCGACCGTCGATATTGTCGCGTTTTGCGGCTACTTACCGCGCTAGATGGCGGCACGGACGTGCGAAGTTGCCGCGCATTACCCATTGCGTCCGATTGCGTCATCCTCTGATCCCGTAGCTGCATCGCTTCGAGTGCTAAGGCGCAAATGGCGTTTTCGTTCACTCGGATCATCAGGTGCGAGTATCGAGAGAGAGCAAACGTTAATCGTAGTCGACGGAACATCCAGAAACACGAGCGGTGAGTAACAAAAGGCGCGCAAAAAACTGCTGCGTCACGTGAACAAATTCAGTAATGGCGACAGCACGCCACTTAAGTCGTGTGCGTGTGTTGCATATTGCTGCTGCATTTTTCTCTTTCTACTTCGGAATTTCCGATCTCTCGGATCGATCTCACGATTTCGAAAAACGCACACGCTCGCTCTCTCCTCTCGGATCTTGCTCTCTTATCCCGACGAAGCGTCGCGTTCAAACGAAAACGAGAGAGAAGATTGCGCGATGAAATTTCAAATCGCAAGAACAAATTTCTTATCGAAACGCGATTGCGACTTATCGCGTATGTCAAGAAGACATTGACCCTGAAATTGTCGCGCGTTCTCGATCACTGCTGTTCTCTTTCGATTTTTCTTTTGTTTTCTTTGATTGTCACGTGACATTTTGTGCTTTGTCGTCCCACTGTAACAAACAAATTGGAGCGACAAACTTTTTGGTCTCGCGTAAATAAATTTATTAAATCACTCGAGACGACTCCATTTTTTGTCGCCGTAAAAGTTTGTAACTATGTTCAGATGGAACACCATAGTTGCTGAGGAAAAAGTAAACCGCACGCCTGTCTACTTGAATTCTCCGACGATTGTGTCACGTGAAAAAAAACAACAAACGCGGATTTCCGGGAAATTTCGACGCCACACGCACGCACGCACAAGTGACATCTACGTTTCGAGAAGTTTTTGTAAAATTCGTTTCGGCGTGTTGAAAATTTTTCTATTCACGTTACAAATCTCGCTTCTCTCTCGCTCCCGATTGATCTCGATGTGTTTTTTGTATGATTGTGCAATACGATGATGTCAGATTTATATAAGAGTTGAATGTTATCAGTTCGCGGAACCAGACGTTGTATATGTAATACAATCGTAACCATGGTAGTGAGATTACAATACAAAATAGATTTTTGTGTTTTCGGGGAAAACATTTGTAAGAGAAGAGGAAGTGCGTATCGAGCGTGCGTCACAACGTTGTTTGACATTGAAACGATATATAGATAAGATTTTCGCAATTTCATTGATTTGTACGTAAAGTTTTTATGTGTGGAAGCGAAATAAATGTTTATTTTTGTGTGCACGCTGCTGATTTAGATGGCGCCAAAAAACAAGGAAAACAAGCGGAAGAAGCAGCTAGAAGAGCAGGGTGACGAAGACTATCGCAAACGAAGAGATCGGAATAATCAGGTGATTAGATTAGATTTATTGATTCGTCTTGTGTTAATTATTACCATCTTAAACTCGTGTTTTATACAAAAATGTATGTTTTGCAGGCTGTGAAAAGATCTAGGGTGAAAAGTAAGTTACGCACGCAACAAACCTTAGAGCGAGTAAATCAGCTGAAGACGGAGAACGAATTATTGGAGGAGAAGATCAAAATGCTCACCAAAGAGCTGGGATTTCTTAAGGATCTCTTTCTTGCGCATGCAGGTACAGACAGAGAAATAAGATGTTGAAGAAATTAATTGCTCCTGCACGTTACATGATAAATGTTTCTCAAGCTCGTTTTATTATTCAGAGAGCATCTTTTAATTGCAAATTTTTTAGTTGCAAAATGTGGCAAATCCTCGAATGTTATTTTACATTGACTTGTACAAGTTTTCTCTTGTATTTTCCAGTGATACGGTGATTCTGTTTCTTTTTTTTTTAAAGAGTTACATCGCTTGAATTTCTATGACTAAATGGTTGGTCCCCCGTTTCTATTTTAGGCTCCAGTCAGCACTCTCTAAACATTCAAGATTTAGATCTAAATGCTCTTTTAGCCGAAGACAAGTCCGCGGAAGACCCGCCGAAGACGACCACCGCTAAACCGTAGACCGGTGTGCAAGCGCCACGTGAAAGAATCAGCGTGGTGTGAATCAGAAATGTTGAAGAAACATACGTCGGTTCATTTAATCGAAGCGTCAAGTGAGTATCCGTGAAAAGATGCTCGCTCGAAAAATTGATTGAAAAAGATTTGTTTAGACGCGATCCAGCGTTGTTTCCTGAAGTGAGCCTTCTCGATGTGTCATCAGAAACAAACAACTGTGTATTGTTATCGACTAAATTTTGTAGCTTAACAGGAATTAAGACAGAAAAGCAGAAACTTACGACGCGGCGAACCGTCGTTTGTTGCGGTGAAGGCGTGAAAAAAGCCATTTTTCTCGATGAAAAGTTAGATAGGTTGATACTCTGGTGAATAGAGTACAAAAGACGGCGATGTATCGCGAGAGTGTACGGAACATTGCATTTTACGATCTTATTTCGTACTTTTACGTCTTGTAAGATAAACCGGTTTACGCGGAAAGCAAGTCGGATTTGGAAAAACCATAAACAATTATTTAATCTTTTATATAAATGTATATATGCGGTATTTATATTATTATCATTGGAAGATAAATTATTTTTTATTATACTTTATTGAGAAATTGTATGTAATCATGGAGTTTATAGAAAATGGTACACACACATATGGTGTCGTATTTGCAACATTTAACAAATTAAATCTTCGCTAATATCATTTTGATGCAAAGACAGCGACACAGTGATGTCGCACATTGAAAAACAAGAGATACGATTAAATAAAAAATATATATATCTGTTATCAAATACAAAATCGTTAAAATCTATTATATTTAAGTAGACGATATATCTGAAACACATTTGTGAGCATCACAATGCGTGTAATTTGAAATGTAAATTTGTAATTACATTGTAGCAGTTTTAATTACATGCATCCGTTACATGTAAGAAATGTCATAGATATTTTACGATATTTAACGCACAAAACATGTGTAAATATATGTGAAATAAAATCTTTGTGTATCTATCGCGAGCTGGACCAGCGCGAATATCGTGTCCTTTGTGTCCTTAGAAAATTTCCGTATGAAAGGAATGGAGAATTAAAATTCTGAATACCCCGTCGGGATGGGTATAAACATCCGGCACGGATCATCGGACAACACCTGTATGCTTCGATATTCGCAGCCGAAAAGACCCGATCGATTCTCCGCCTGTGTTCGTAAAGCCCACAGATGTCGCGCCAACCGGACAAACCGAGTGTATCGCGTTGAAGGAGTACCACGTGAACTCTGTTCAACGGGAAGATATTGCTCGAAATAAAAATAATATCGAGACGAGAGAACGTAAACTTCAAACTGCGTCGATGTTTTTCTCATATCGGCAAAAAACGTGCATTTCGGACCCAAGTACATCTCACGCGGATTCCTGACAATTGGCGACCCATAGGTACAAGTTTTATTTTCAAGTTTTTCGAAATGTAATAAATTACATAAAACACAATCGAACACACGAGCGGAATTGCTCGACAAAAAATTGCAGAAGTATTTTGTTCTTTTTTAATATCAAATTCGGCGAATATCAACGACGCAAATTGGAAGCGCGCATGAGAGGGAGGGTGGCACTCGGAACGCCGAGTACGAGTCTGGACCGTTCGTGGCGCGATGGGCCTCCGCGCTGCTGGTAGCCTAGCAGACGACATGTTGGCTGTAGGGAGCACCTCGTCTTGGACATTTCGGCCGCAAGTTTCCTCGGGGATACTCGAGTGAGAAGAGGCGAGAGCGCGAGAACTCGGTGAGGAAGCGCGAGTGGTAAACGGTAGGCCAGTGAGGGGCGCGAGAAAAACTCTCCCGTGCAGAGGGTGTATGTGTGAAAACGGCGGGAGAGGAGGCGCGCGAGGGTGCGGGTTCCCCGATTGCTGCTGTTGCTGCTGCTGCTCCTTGCCGTGATCGTCAACGAGAAGCTCCTGACGGAAGAGGAGGGGGGGTGGGGCGGAGTAGACGAGAGAAGAAAACTGTAGAGGAAGAAGAACGGAGGGGGACCCGAAGAACGAGCCTCCGAAAAACCGACGACGGGCGCTGACAGGAGGCGAAAGAAAGTGCCCTCATAGAAATCGTCCGATATCCTCCTCGTTTCACGCGGATGTGGAAGGGAATCTGTCCAAGGGAGTTCGCGGAACGAGAAATCGCGCCGGCAAATCGACAGACTTAACGAACGACGGAGAGAGCGAAAGAGAGAGAGAGAGAGAGATTGGAGCCGGACGAACTCGTCGTCACTAAAGACAGACAGAATATAAGAAGCAAAGCTTGTGCCCGGCAAGATCATCATCCCCTCGACTGTGTCGATTTGATTTGAGGAAGGAGGAGAGGTCGGGTGTGCTTGGTCGCGAGTGGCGGAGCCGATCTATTTTAACGCCTCATCGTCATCCCGAGCGCCCGCCGTACCTCCTCGCGGTGGAGTAGGGACACTCCGATCCAATTCGCGTGCGGGACTAAGTGTGAGAGAAGACGAGAAAAAAAATCGTCCGAATTGGTTTTTGTTTTCTTTTTTTTTTTGCGCGCGCCCTTCCACACCCCGTCGAATCGAAATCGAGTGTGCATATCTGTCTCGTTCTCCCCCCTCTCACTCTCTTGTCTCACTGTCTCTCACGCCGGTCGTATTGTCGCCGGAGACAGCGGTGAGAGAGGGAGAGAGAGAGAGAAAGAGAGAGACGGACACAGTAGCAAGTTCGCGCGACCAAACGACGACAGAGAGAGAGAGAGAGAGGTAATAGTGTCGCGTCAATTGTATATATACTGTCATCATCCCTCAGTTGTCCTCGCGTGTTTAATATTTGAGTGAGTGCGTGCGTGCGTACGAAATCCGCATCTCTCGCGTGTGATACCCAGTGTTTTTTTTCTAAATCCCTGAAGAAAGAGGCGAAAGAAACGACAGGTTCTCGCCAAGTGTGTTCTCCGGTGTGTGGCGCCGTCGCTGTCGTGTTATCGGTGCCGAGGTGTTGCAACTTCGGAGCTTCGTCGTCGTCGTCGTCGTCGTCGTCGTCGTCTGCGCGTCCACCTGCTGCCCGATCGTCGCCGGGTAACAAGTGTCACGCGCTGTCGTTGTGTTGTTCCGTGCGGAACGCGACTCGTCGTCGGCACGCGCCGCTGTCATCCTCTCGTCATCGATATCGTCATCGACAACAGCCCGTCGTCGTCGTCGTCGTCGTCGTTTCTCTCTCTCTCTCTCTCTCTCCCTCTCTCTCTCTCTCTCTCTCTCTCTTCCTCGCGAAAGAGAGAGAAGCGGAGGCGCATATACAACACACACGGCGTGTGTGACGATAGGAGGGCGAGGGAGGGAGGGAGAGAGCGCAACACGGGATTCTCTCTCAGTCGCTCGTCGAGCGGAGCGTTGTGACTATGGTGCGTGGTGACAATGGGTTCGCGGCTACTATTAGTGGGATCGGCCACTGACGGAGGCAGCAGCAGGCGTCAGGTGTGCTCGTGAGTGTCGCGTCGCGAAGAGATACACGCGTGTATCTCGTAACACACGTCAGAGCGACGGGAGGAGACGACGTACCGGCGAGACGTGTACGTGTGGTGGAGCAGCCACCGGAGTTGACATCGGGCTTTTGTGCTCGTCGCCGTTATAAAAGAAAGTAAATAAACAACACCGGGAAAGAAAACAAAAAGGAGAGCAAGAAAAACGAGGGATCTGTGTTGTTGACCGGAGGAAGAAGAGAGAAAAAGTCAACACCGTGACCAGTATCGTATAGTCAACAGCAGACGTCACCCGAGGAAGTAAAGCAGCAGCAGGGGTTTCGCAGCGCGCGCGCGTGTGCGAAAGGAACACCCTGTAGAGCCGAGGCGCAGGCGAGACGAACGGAACGGCGGAACCGGCGGCGGCGGCGGCGGCGGAGGAGGAGGAGGCGGCGGAGGGCGGGAAACAGCGGGATTCGCGGAACGGGAACGAACGTAGCGCGCGAACCACAGCGGCGGCGGGCTCCGGGGCGCGTTTTGAAAGGCGGCGGACTCGCGGCGACGGCGTCGGCGGCGGTGACGTTATAAACAACGACGGCAACGACGCGCTCGCCGGCGCCGGTCGCACGGACGTTCTCGCGACTAACTCGATCGCGAGCCGTTGCCCTCCGTTGTCCCGATCCGAATCCCGATCGCCCTCCCTCTCGATCAACGCCACCACCACCACCACCACCACCACTACCACCACCAACGTCCTTGCTAACACGACCCGAGAAGGTGACGGGCCCGCACAGCTGGACGTGGAAGGGAAAAACGGTGAGGGCGAGCCGCGCGTGTCCTTCCCGTGGTGTGTCATGGGGTGTTTTGGCAGCCAGAGCAAGCAGAGCCAGGACGAAAGCAGGAATCAGAAGAGACGATCCGATGCAATCACCAGGCAGTTGCAGAAGGACAAGCAGCTCTACCGAGCCACCCACAGACTACTCCTTCTCGGTGAGTTGCGAATTACTAATAATATTGTTTAACAATAATATTGTTGTCCGCGTGTTTCCGATTGTCCAAATAGTGTAAAGATCAAACCGGGATTCAAATACCCAAAAGTCGCGCTTTTACGGAATATAAACAAACGTTAAAACAAAAACATGTCGATTTTACATCGTCACTCTAGGCATCCGAAACAAACAATATTGTTATGACATCATACAAGAATATAAGGCCGATACGAGCCATTCCCAGGATGTTGAGCAGGAACTTGAACGTGCATACATACATGTATAACAAGTATTACTTGTAAATTTTTACAAGTAAGTTTTTTGAATTGAAAATTCAATTCGTAAATTCATACGGGATGCGGGATTTGCATCTCACATATGAAAGACCCCGAATACCCCCCTAACTAATTTTTAAAATATTGCGAAAAAAACTCCTCGGCCAGGAGTCGAACCTGGAATCTCCGGCTTNCCGTGCCATCGCCTTCCCTGTTAGGCCACCGAGGCACGCTTATTTTTTTTTTGTTATGACATGTTTTAATCTTATAAACAATGTCGCGCGTTCAATTGTGACTTGAAAAACAAAAATTAAAAGTTCCAAAAACCCGATGACAGTTCAAAATTTAATGGCTCGTGATTTCGGTGAAAATCAGGTCGGATGTTTTGACTGATAAAAAATGGAAATAGTTTGGTCGCGCGCGCGCACACACACACACACTTTTGAAAAAATTACGATCTCGAAGGCGATATTCGAGGGAAGTCCCGATATCCGGTTTCAAGAAAAAAAATGTGATATACAATCGCATTTGCGAGATGTTAAAGTCGGAATATCTTTTTAATAAGAAGCTCTCTCTTCAAACTCTCTCGCAAATTCATTTCTTCTCGCATTTCGCGAAATTACACAACTTAGAATATATATATATATATACCTATATATATTTTCTCGCAATCGAGTTTGAGGGGGGTAATGAAACAAAGTTGATCTCGGTGGTTCGTTACCTAAGCGCCTCGTCTTTTAAATTAGTTCGGTCAAATTAATCTTCCGTAACTTCTGTTTATTTAATTTTTTTTTTTAACGCGTATATTTAGAATACGAAGATAAGCATCAATCAATACCTTATCGCTTCTCTTTTTTTTTTTTCTGTACCGGTAACAACTTTTTATTATCTCACTCGATGCACAGCGTCGCGCGTTTCTTTTCCCTCCTCTCCGTTAAATTACGTAGAAAATGGGGGACGCGCTCTACCCTTCTCGCGTGTATATTTCGAAAGAGAATATAATTCCCGGATGTTCTTCATTCTTCGGCGGCGGCGGCGGCGCGCGGGCGATCACGTTCGTGAACTGAGGCGCGTTAAATACCGGCCGATGGCCGTCGGTTTCGGACAAAGAAAGTTTCCGAAGCCGAGGGCAAGCCGGTCGACCGGTCGCTATCGTGATGTTCAACGGCGCGTAATTCAATTTTATCGATTATCGTGTGTGATGGCACCCACGAATATATATTCCAGAGCGGTGGTCGCCTCCTCGTGTGTGTTTTGTATCCTTTTTCGTCGCTCTCCCAGACTCTGTGTGTGTGTGTGTGTTTGTGCATGTTTCTTTCGCAGTGTCTCTTTTATTCTTCCCTCTTTCGTCTCATACGAGATTCAAAATTCCGCGTGCGTTTTTCCGTTCATATTACATCGTCAGCTGTTTTCCGTCCCAAGACGTTTTGGACGATTGAGAAATCGATTCTTGTTTTTTTTTTCTTTTTTTTCGTCATATTTGAATTAACTTTTTGAACAGAAGAGTCAGACGCAAACATCCTCATCTGGTTTTTACCGGTTTTTCAGACAAATCGACAAAAATGTTGATGACGCAAACACGCACACTTTTTACACTTTAATATTTCACGTGCAACACCTCTTGCTTTCCATTGTTAAAAAAAATTACGTTCGCTTCGAAAATATCTTCCTCGCTATGCTCTTCTGTCTTTTTTTTTTTTTTTTCGTTTCATTCACACACGCGTCTGTTTCTCGATTATGCACCGATGCGCGCGCGTGCATCACTTTGACGCGATGCTTAACCTGGTGCCCCGTGACACATCGCCTTCCTATTATCCGGCGTTTATGTAGGTCGTCGTTCTAATTCGATGCGAACGCGTCGTCATCGTCATCGTCGTTGTCGTCCTCGACGGACGAAGCAACAGCTGTCGCCGCATTGTTTTCTCGTCGCGTGCGTATTACAAGCCGCACAAAACAGCCGCGGCCCGATTGGTATACTCGTGATGGTTGCGTCGCGCATATGCGATCGCAGAAATTTGAGGAAAAAAATTCCGAGTTGTTAAAACATTCAATTCGAGCGACACACAAATTTCGATATACGAATTTAATGTGTTCCCTGAAAATTTCAAACACAAATGCAAACGACGTGAGATGTGCGTAATATCACCAATGTTAAAATATAGCGCGTCTTTGCGCGAATTACAAATTGCAGAAAATTATTAGATTAAAACCTCAACTGTCAAAAAAAAAACAAAACAAAACAAAATTCGCCAAGCAACGCTTGTCGACCGGGAGTCTATTAATCGGCTTTAAAAGCTCGACTGAATAAGTTCGCGTTTTCCGATTCAATTTCGTACTTCGAGCACTTAAACGAGTTAAGTTTCACTCCGCAGAGATGATCTTTGAGAGAAAAAGAGAGCAAGACGATAATAATTGTTATTTAAGTCACAATGCGACGTCGTACGTTATTCGCAATAAAGCGATGTCGATCCCATTTTAATCCGTACTTTAATCGAAGCGGATTTACGCTACGCGATTATCTCGTCGGAGACGCATGGTGTGTGTGTGTAAGTGTGCGTATTTTGCAATGTGCGTTATCGGCGTGTGATTGCGATCGATAACCGCGGCCGGCGAAATCTTGATTTTGTCAGCTGACAGCGACGATATGTTTGTTTCTGTCGCGCACGCGCTACGAAATCGAGCGTGTGTGTTGTATTGCAAAATTTTCTGACAAAACAGAAGCAAATCCTCCTCAGACGCTATAGCGACACGCGAAATGGAGATTCAAGCGACGATTTTTGTTCCTTGTTTCAGGAGCGGGCGAGTCCGGCAAAAGCACGATCGTCAAACAGATGAGAATACTGCACGTCAATGGTTTCAGCGAAGCGTAAGTTTTATTTTTAAAAGCGGGGCGGACGCGTGCGCGCCGATCGGACCGAGGCCGATCGGTCGGTCGGTCGCTTGCTGCTGCTGCTGCTGTTGCTCCTCCTCGTTGGCTCCATCCGTTCCAATCCGACGATGTGTCGTTAACCCATTAAAGGCCATAATCGCTCCTTTGTTTCCATCGGGGGCTTTTCATCGTTCGGGCTCGCATTACAATTAAACGTCAGCGGAATGCAATCGTACTCACGCAGACCATTTACGAAACACAAAACCACACGCGGGACGCGCGCTCATTGAATTTCCGTTCGAATATTTTTCGTTGTAATTCGACACACTCTCTCTCTCTCTTTCTCTCGGTCGTGAAATGAGAAATCGAATCGCCAAGTGTGTGTGACATCAGCCGAAATCAGAGCTCGATCCGCTTCTTCGCCACGCGAAATGTTCGCTTGTTTTGTTTCTTCAACGCCTGGCGTTTAAAATCGCGGCATGAATGGTCTGCGAAATGTGGAGCGATTGGGATTCTCGGACTGCGCGAATGATTCATTTCTGTGGACTGTGCTGTTTCAACAGCTATGTCAACACGTGGCTACAACGTCGCCGCGACTACTTCCTTTTTCCGACTCGTCGATTGCGACTGTTTATTTTTTGTTTGTTTTTATTCTATCACGATATCTCTTGAAAATTAAAAAACGCGCGTGTTTTCATACGCAACAGAGAGCACCTCCTCCAATTCCTCTCTCAGCAGCAGCTTCTGAATCACTTCTCGGCAATGTTATTTCCGCGACGCGGAAATAATTATCTGTCGCGTTTCCTTTTACGTCCGCGTGTTTTTTGTTTTTCTCCCAGACGTTTAATTCGCAACGTGTGTATCAAATGTCACTTGATTGCGATGAAAACAAACTGGCGTTGCGAGACTGTCTAATGCGTGTTTTTCGTGTATTGCAGAGAAAAGCGACAGAAGATCGAGGATATCAAGAAGAACATCAGGGACGCGATTTTGGTAAGCGCGTTAATTTTGTCTCGCGAAAGTTTATGTAACGTGTGTCTCATTAAAAAAAAAAAAGAGTTATCAACGCGTTATTCAACGAGCGACCTTTTAAGTGGAAATTACAATTTCTCTTCTCGCATCGATATACGTAATCATTACGTGACACGAAAACTCGATTGGCGAAACATTATCGCCGATTTGTCATTCGAGATCCGCATCACGCGCCGGGAATTATGTGTTACCTCAATGCGGTCGTTTCTGCGCTGGTCGCATTGACGCAAACGATAACGACGTGGTCAGTAATAAATTTTTGCGCGCGGAATTCTTACGTCGCAATTAACGACGCGTTAGCGTCGACTACGATTTGGTATCTGCGACAAAACAAAAGCGAGATCTCGCCGAGAAGATGTTAAACAGGTCTTAAAATAACGCCGATGTACGGCCTCAAAAGTGTGTTCGTCTGTTGCTTTATTTCTCGCGCATCTGAAATTTTATTTATCAACAAATTACATTGTGTTGAAGACAAAACAAAAATAATTACTAAATTATTACGTCGCTTTATTTTGCAGACGATAACCAGTGCGATGAGCACGTTAACGCCACCCGTCACGCTGGAAGATCCGTCGAATCAGAGCAAAGTGGACTACATCCTGGAAGTCTCGTCTTCCCCAGACTTCGATTATCCGCCGGTGAGTCAGAGCCTCCGTTCGTTTGTTTGCTCTCCTCGCGGGCGTGCGTGTGTTTTCTCGCGAGAGAGAGGAAATCGGTGATTCGCAAGGAAGAGTCATCCTTTCCCGCGGCGATTTCTCGTCTCCGCGAATTCTCCGCGCGAAACGCGTTTCGTCTCAGCGACGACTAACGGAAGAAAAAGAGGAACACGTCGAAAAACAAAATAATTATTGTGGTTTTTCCCTCTGTGCAAATATAAAATATGTACACACGTAAATATGTTACGTCACGTCCTAGAAATAACACTTCGAAGCGACGATTACTTGGTGCGGTCGTTTAAACGCGTTTAAGCCGGCCGATTACGCGGCGCAAACGACGAGAACACAACGACGAAATTTATTTAACGACTCATCCGTGGCATTTCTTTGCGTCTCTCGTTAAATCGACGAACATCTGCGCGGATTAAAGTGCGACACACATACGCGCGCGCTTGCGAAAAGCTCTCCCACGTCCTGAGAACCACTGCGTGGCATGATTCCTTGTTCGCGATATTTACACAGTCACCGTACACGTCGGTGCGCCATGTAGTGATCCTGTACTACGATATGCCGCGCCATTTCTCACGTATATGCACGCGCGCGCCTCGATTGTGTCACACGACGAATTCACGCGATCATTATGTGGCTCGCGCGTAATCGAAAATTTCCACATCGATTTGCGGATGCGAATCATCTGCAATAAATTTTTTTTTAAAGAAAGACGCTCTCATCTAGCTCGAGGAACCAATTTCTACCGGAAAATCGCGATGCGTAAAAACGCCTCCGCTCCGATAACGTATCTTGAACGGTGAGACTTCAGGTCTGCTTCAGGACAGTGTGCGGTTCGGAAGATAGATGAGGAGAGAGGCAGGTGCGGAGACGCGGCTCTCGAAATAAAATCGTCGCGACGAAATAATCGCGCCGTTTTGCGTCATTCGGCGCGCGCGAATCGCAACGTAACGACGCGCGCGTTGTTACCGCGCGCAAATCCGCGTTCGTTATTTAACGGCACGTGTCCTCTGTCACTGCACATCGTCGGCGATGCGCTTGGTTCGAATCGAATTATTTCACGCCACACGAGCGCTTTCGAGAGATCGCGCCGAAGTTCCACAGTTCCGATTAGCGTTTCCCGCTTGATTTTTCAGTTTGACTGATATTATTTTTCTAAAGTTCTTTAAAAATATAAGCGCAAAGATCAACTTTGCGACGGGATTTTTTGACTCGACGATTTAATTCATTTTTTCAAAAACTCGAGGGAATTTGAATAATGTGGTCGAGTGTTTTCTTCTCTCTAGAAAAAAAAAAAAAGAAGAAGAAGACAAAGCTCGTGTGGCACGAGGTCGAGTTTTTCTATCGATTACAAGCAAATAAACGCGTATCTCGAAGTTGCGCGAATATACACGCACACGTGCTCTCTCGGCATACATCAACGGCGTTATTTTCGCGATTAGGAGACAGAGATAATATCCGGAGTGCTCGTCGCGAATTCTGCGCGTCTTGACGCTTTCTGTACGATTCGCGTTTAATTTGTCACTGTCGTTCCGTTCCACACGCGCGCGCGAGATGAGAGATACGTACAACAGGGCACACACGTCTCGCACGGATGTATGAAACTTCATTTTATTTTTCCGAGAAATATACTTTTCCGAGAAAAATATATTTCTCGGAACGCGCGGGAACACAATTTCCGCACTCGGATGGATCAACACGCGCGCGCGGTATATATTTAATTTGCGCGAAAAATTAGTGACGAAAAAACAATTCGCGCAAATTGAGAGAGGCGATAACGCCAGAAACTCTAAACAACCCGCTTTGGATATTTGTTTTTACGAGAGATCGAACGGACGTGCGCATTATTTTCTTGTCACTTCTCTCGGAGAGACGTTAATATAACAGAAAAATTCTCAATAATAAAATACTTTCTCTCCTCAATGTTACATCAACAAATAAAAGAAGGAGGGATTTTTCCCGTTTGAAATATTTAAACACACTTTTATCGCACACAATCGCTCTCGGGGTTTTTTAATTCCCATATGGTGCGCGACGAATGGTGTAAAACTTTGCGACATGTTTTTTTTTTTTTTATTTTGTATTTTTAGCAGCCGGATTAAATTTTGCGGCCGCGTTTAGAATTTAATGAGAGAAAAAGAGAGAGAGACGGGAGAGATGACGCGCGAGGTTTAGACGAAATTATTAGTACGTGCATAATCGCGGTAATAAGGCAACATCAGCCGGCGATCCTCCGCGCGTAGACGACGAACGGGATCGACGACGATGCGTTCGTCCATTCCATCGATCGTGGAAGCGTGGAAATAGCATCGACACGAGAATTTATTAATATAACCGTCGTCGTTTTATATATACACACGTATACACAAGTACGTGTAACATCGTCAAGCATCGAGCTGAGCATCGCCGGAGCGGAGTTCGCCCACGCGAGATCCGTGCGCGTTGAGAGACAAACTTTCGGTATGGACTTCCGACTACGAACGTGTAACCCCGCGCCGTGTAGTTTTCGCGGTGACATTTAAAACGAAAGATGAAAGAACAAGCGCGCGGAATTACAACAGCGCTTGCCAATTACTTGCCTGCGGGACGGGAAAATTGTACGTCGTCGTCGGAACGATCAATCCGTCGACCGTCGATTCGCAAACACTCGGGAAAAGTTAAACGTGCTCTCTCTCTCTCTCTCTCTCTCTCTCTCTCAAAAATTGTTAATTATTGATATTACACACGGTGTTGCGTTGTATATACAGTAGGGTGGCTTTTATTTACTTTTGATGAAAATTGATTTTTGAATTTTTTTCGCGGCATTTTTCAAAATGGTTCCAATTGCTAAAAACATAATCTGTAAGAAAGTTCAGTCCCTGGGTTCTTAAACATTGAAAAAATTATTTAAATGCATAAGGAATCGATTTTATTTTATCATCTTCCAACTTATCAATTATATCGAAAAGCACGTTAAACAAAAATTGCAGATCTGGATGAGAAATATATACATTTTGTCATTTATTACTTTTTTTCGTACAACTAGTGGTTTTCAAAAAAAAAAAGTAAGTTTCTTCTTTCTCAGTGAGTTTTTGTTTTTGGACAAGCGTCACGTTCATTTTTTTTCTTTTTTTTTGTTTTACGTCTGAATTAGCAAATAAGTTGCCGGAGAAAAAAAGAAAAATTGTGCAAAGAGTTGTGTAAAAAACAACTTTAGATACGAGAGGGAAATAACCGCGCGCACGTTTTGGTTGCGTACAAACTAAGCTTCTGTTTCGCAATTCGTGCACGTTCGTACATTTCATTGCCAGAAATATCATTGCGCGATGCAGCTGAAATAATTAATAATAATGTTTCGCGCCGATGTTTCCTGATGTTGATTTATGCGCGGGCGTGCTCGCACACACCGCCGCGATTACTCGGCAAGTTTTTAATTCCTATCGCGCCGGAACGCATCTCACTCGGTCGCGATTTCTCAACACTTACCACTTTGTTTACCACAAACAACACTTCGGAGTAAGGATTGTTCATTAACGTGTATTTTTTGCAGATTTGCCCGTCCGTCGGAAGCTCTTGTTCATTTTCAACGAAATAAAAATTCAGCTCATTTGGAAGCTAGTTTTCGGAAACGTCAATTATTTGTTTAAGTAAATTACAATCAAATTCAGATCGCAATCGTGTTTCGACAATGTCAAACTACAACGCTATTTTGCATTTCTTTTCGCGCGCGCGAAATGTGTAGATGCGCGTGCATTCGTCGAGCACTTCCTTTGAGAACGCAAGTCGCGGATTTTTCGCGGAGCGGCGCGTTTTTTCAGCGGTGAGTTAACGACGAATTAAACGTCAATCGCGCGTTACAACGCGGCCGGACGATCCGGCGTGCAATAAAGACGGCGATAAATGTACTATAAATACATGTGAATAGGCCGGTATTGCGAGCTCTCTCTTGCGGCGTCGTTCGATTCGCCAGCTTCGGTCTTGATATTGCGCGACGATATTTGCATGGTTTATTCGCTTGTTGCATATTTTGTGTGTGAGTCTTAAAAGTAGTCATAAAATTTTAACAACAACAAATTTAACAACAAATTCAAGGTCATATAATGTGAGTCGATGTGTGCTAGATGTTCGTGAAAAATGTATTTTATTTTATTTACTTAAACACTAACATTAATACGCATGATAATTCCAACTGAATTCAATTCGAAAATTCATCTAAGATGCATTTCACATATAGACGAAATTTATTTTATTTTTATGGAAATTAAAAAGTGAAATTCAGTTTTGAATTATTGTGTGTATTAAAATTTACACATTTTTAAATAAATAAAATAAAAAATATGTCGCACGAACATCTAGCACAGAAATTCGCACTGAATTTTTGACCAAATAACTTTGGGTTAAAAAATATGCGATATTATTGAAATTTTTACACAATATTATCATAATTTTTTACATTATTATTAAAATTTTACTAGAAAAATTTGAATATCGCATATTTTTCTCGTAAAAATGAGATTTATTTGTCTCGTAATTTTACGTACACTGCACTTACATATATGCGTATAACGCGCAGTGCGTCAGATCGGCGTTTTCTGCACATTTCAATGTCAAAATGTATTCCGTTTGCGCGAAATTAGCAAAATAAATAAATTCGAGTGTATTCGCGCGTTAAGCGCCGCGCGTGAATTTATAAATAAATCATCGACGATTGTTCTGCTTTGTTTTTTTCCAGGAATTTTACGAAATCGTCGAAACACTCTGGAAAGACCGGGGAGTGCAGCAGAGCTTCGAGAGAAGCAACGAGTATCAGCTCATTGACTGCGCCAAATAGTAAGTCTCGTTCTTTTGTTTCACAATTTCGCGAAAAAAAAAACAACAACGCGCGTTCTATTCGCACACATGGATTCGAGTCCGAAAAGGATTGAGTGAGAAACAAATCACGTGTGCGCGGCATAGAAAATGCACATACATATATATTCGCATAACACGCACGTCACACGCACGGAATAAATAAGTCGCATTGTCTACAACAAACGCGATCTAACGACGTTTGGTTTTCAACGCGCGCTTTTCGCGAGGTCGTCGCGCGATTACATTTCTCATCGATTCGATCGTCGGATCTCTCCTTCACAAAACGCATGACGAAATGCCGCGGTTATTGTAATCTCGCCTCCGTGGGTGGTATCGCGATTCGCGATAAAAAGAAAAAAAAATTAGCAAGATAACGCACACGCACGCATACTCACGATAACCAGCCAGCGCGGTTCTTTTTCTCGCGGAAGAATACGGACTCGACTCGCTTTTCTCTCTCTCTCTCTCTCTCTCTCTCGCATTAAAGTCTCGTAATAAATAAAATTCTCAAATATATCACAAACACAGATAAAAAAAAAAAGAAACAATGACCAGAAAAATAACGCCGCTGTATTTGTAGCTTCTCGACATTTTGAAGATTTTATTCCCGTACATAAAGAGGCTTTGGAAAGACATTCGCGTGTGCATTTGTAAGATTAGCAACACCGATTTGACGCTAATGGACACAATGTCTTAACGAGGTAATCACTTTGACAGGGGTCACTCGTTTGTTCGAGGGGGGAGCTCTCTTTCTCTCGATAAATTGACCCAACCTCGAGCTTTTTTCTATGCTAATTCGATCATATTGAGCGGACGATACGAGCGTTGATTTAGTTACATAAAGCGAGTGCGTGTGTGTGCGCGCGCGTACTTCTATGAGATTACGATAGAAAGAGAAGAGAGAGGGAGGAGCTCATTTGACGGACGGCATGAACGCGACTGATTGAATGCGTGTAGCGATCGGTAATTCGAAACGCCGGGGTTGTTTTCAATCGACCGATCGATGGTTTCTATATTGCGCGAGGAAAACCGTGTGTAAATTTTTCGTTCAATCTTCTCGCGGTCAAACATTTCCTTTCCTTTCTGACTCGCGTGTCTTCGCAGTTTCTTACGCGGGCAGTTTATTTGGCCATAATCTGGCACGCATTATTTCCGATTGTGTGTTCTTTTTTTTTTTTATTCACACGTCAGGATCGCGTTCAACGCTTGACCTCCAGCGAGCCAACGAAAATCGGTCTATTTTCTATTTAATGAGACCATTTTTTCGATCAAGTAACATGCGACAACGTTTCACGTCCAAGTTTGTAATTTTGACAGTAGCGTATCCGAGTAACAATCTTCTCGTACACAGAAATGTCCGCTTGAACTTTGGTGTATCGCCAAATTCATCCAGATTGCAGAATACGCGCATTTTCTCTCTCTCTCTCTCTTTCTCTCTATCTATCTATCTATCTATCTATCTATCTATCTATCTATCTATCTATCTATTTATTTATCTATCTCTTATAAACATTTTGTGTCATTTATAATCGCATGCGAATTTCTCGCGCTCATTTTTATTTCCTTCTTTGTACCGGTGTGCGACCGGAGTGATTTTTCTTTCCCTCCCTCCCTCTCTCTCTCTCTCTCTCTCTTGTGTGCAGCGGGAATCGTTGCTGTTAAAAATAGCGCGTTGTATTTTTAGGCAGCACTCCGGCAGTGAGAGCTATAGCGTTTTCGGGGCGTAGACGAGGAAGACGCAACATAGTTATAATGTTGCGGTCGTATTTCCGCGATTGTGTCTTCCTGCTTTTTTTCTGTATCTCTCTCTCTCTCTCTCGTGAAAATTTATTCACGCGGCGCGTTTCGAGCGTGGTTTTTCTTTTAAGACGCGCGAAGAAACGCGATCCGCCCGCCCGAACGAAGAAACGATGCGGAATAAGAGAGAGAGAGAGAGAGAGAAAACGCAATCGCGCGCTTGTTGGCAGTCGAGAACGATTGATGTTATTTCCTCTTTTAACGTCGTTTCCCGGGAAAATCGTCATCTCTCGCACTTATGCCAGAAAAGAGTGCGCCCTCGATTTTCTCGTAAACAAGGCGACGGTTTAAAGCCGTGTTTTTTTCCGTATATAACGACACGGTGTGCAGTTTGCCCGCGACAATTATACTCTTGGAAAATTATCTCGAATCTCTTAATTTTTCTCTCTCTCTCTCTCTCTCTCTCTCTGAGTCATTATGTGTGTGTGTATGTGTGTGTAGAGGGGGAATAAATATTTGCCCGGCGCGCGATTGTGCTGTGCATAACAACGCGCGATTATATCGATTGTTGGTTCAGTGTGTGTGTGCGCGCGCGCGCGAGAAAGAGAGAGAGAGAGACTCACTTCCGGATTTGAACGATCTTTAACACGCGTCGGCGCGCGAAATAAGGATTCTCGATAACGAGCGCACGCGCGTGCATATCACGTTAATTGCTTGAAGAAAGGGAGAAAATCGGACGCGCATCTCTTCTCCTCTCTCAACGTCTTTCGTCGCGCCGTCTCTCGATCGCGCCGTATTTTTAAACCGCGGCGGCGGCGGCGGCGAAACCCTGGAATCTCGTTACGGCAATAAGCGACGTTTCAATTAGGCGATAACACACACGTCGACGCGTCTTAAAAAAAGAAACACGCGTCGCTATATTTAGAAACGCCAGTCTATGTCGCGTGGATTATTGATGCTGCTGTACACACACACATACACAGTTCGTAAATGTTGGTTAAACTCTTGCCTCCCCCTCTCCCTTTTCTCGCCGTCGATACGCCCGTTACATGTACTTACGTATACAGATGATTTTTCCTTGTTTTTTTGCCTCGTCCGAAATAAACAGTTCGACGAACATGTTCTCCTCGCGCACGTTGAGAGACGCGGTTAGAGGAGATGGAATTAAATTTGTTCTTTAAACACGGAAAAATCTTTTGCAGAGCAGCAAAGTGTCTAAAGCGTCGTTAAACCACCGAGTCGATTTATTTGCACGGACGAAGCAAGTAGCGAGTAAAAAAGATAGATGTTTTTCTCGAAACGGGAATCCTCTCAAATAGAAAAATTATTGTTCGCCGCGAGAGAGACTCTGATCTCGCGCGGCTGGGCCAAGGTACAGAAGAACAGAAACGGTGTTTAAATGTTTGCCGAGCGGTCGGTGACGTTTAGGTGCGCGGTGCCGCGGAACCGCGCCAGGTTCGCCAAATATTTGCGCGTCGAGCGAGAATGGTCGCGCGCGAACGGGCGTCAAAAGACTCCAGCGTACGTGTGTTGTGTTGTGATCGCGAACGAAGCGTCGATTTCCTTTCACGGGGAGAGGGGGCGAAAGAGGAAATTGAGTCGACGAATTTCTCTCGAGTGTCCCGCGAAACATCCTCTCGGCTCGGATACCGAATACAGACATGTATTTGCCGCCCACACACGCGCAAAATTTATAAACCCCGAGCAAATATATCTTCTCCCGGTAATCGCTCCCAGCATCGACGCCAATGAAGTTTCGTCATGGGAGTGACGCGCGAGAAACCGCCGATGTATCCGCGTAATCTTCGAGTTAATTTGACTCGATTCACTGAAATTCGAGTGTAAATTTACACTCTTCGAGATGTCGCGCAAATGACGCGGCACACATCCACGTCCAACTTTTATCCCGTGCCTCGTGTTCCGAGTTTGTTTAGAATATAATTCAAATCCCAAGCTTCTGACGAATTTCCGAATAAAACAAAAGTCACGCTAATTGTAAACATATAACGACACGTTAAATCGGTAGGTACGTGAGTAAACGACATCGTCTGAAGGCCGTGTTTCTATCTTCCAAGATAACGCGCAAGACAAATGCGCGAGAGATCTAACGATAACAATTAATTAACAACAACTTTATCAAAGACGTAAAAAATTAAATACAGATTTGTAAACGAAGAAACAAAAAAAGAATCACAACGAAAGCGCCTTTAAAGAGACGAGGCAGCAGCTTTAAAAGGCCTAGCTCCAAAACAAAAAAATATTATGAGAAAAATCAAAATACGAACTAAAAAGACATCAACAACTTCGTTACGAAAAAAACAATAAACACAGACTAGAACACGTGACTTCGTAATATTAACGTGTTAACAATCGAAAAGTGATTCGGAGCGAATTATTATTCTCGCCGCAGAGAGGATGTTTCGGAATCGTCGAGTGTTTTTGTTTCATTTTTTTTTCTTTGTTTAATTAACCATCTCGCGCGTATATTAAACGCACACGGTATATTACGTATATATCGTGTTCAATAGCGAGGCTCTCGGCACAGAAGGGCTTCTATCTTCGTGTCCGTCGACACATCAAACGCATTCGATTCGCGCCGCTCTGTCCGGCCGGATACACGTTATTATCCGTTCACGATCCGGCTTTCATCGTTTTCCCCGAGCTTTGTCGCCGCGAATTAATTCTTCATGAACAAACAGCGAACGTTTAACCTTTAAGCCGGAAATGTGGTCGCGAGAGAGATGAGTCCTACGCAAGCGTTTTACAAAAAGAGCTTTATTATATTCTTTTTCATTTTCTCTCTCTCTCTCTCTTTCTCGTCGCAACATTAATTAAAAAAGCGCGTAACAGGAACTCGAGATTATATTTTTCTCTTTTCGAGATAATTTTGCTAATTGACGCGGAGATTATCTTCGAGATGAGAGGAGGAGATTATTTTTCGTCGTTATTATCGCGCTGCGGCCAGAAACAATGCTTTTTTTCACGGCAGAGGTGCGTGTAACACACATGTGTTTGCTCACATCTCAAGGTCTTGTCGGCGGAGGGTTAGCACGATAACGAAAAAAAAATCGTTAAAAATTTTGCGGCAGCTAAGTCCCGTCGCGGAGGGGGCAGACCGAGAGAGAGGGCATTGGGTCACGACCTCCTTCCTCTTTCAATTCTCTGGAGGTCGATAACCTCATTTCTGTCGGAGCGCGCCAATTACATGACCTACCTTCCTCTCGCTCGAGCCTACACTCCCGTAACACACAGACCTGCAGACTAACATGCGGCCTTCTTTTTTTTCTTTCTTTCTTTTCTTCTCGCATGTATCGCTTATCGGTGAAATTCATCGCGCTTGTTTTTTTTCTTTTCTTTTAACCGCAATCAAACGACCAGAGAGATTAATAACTTCGCGAACGATTACGCGGGTGATATTCGATTTGTTGTCTCGCGAGTTGTCGCCTATAAACGGAATAAAAAAGACAATCGAGAGAGTTGTCTTCAATTCGCGTCTCATGTAGCACGAAGTATTGTACTTCTCCCACATGTTCGCGCGAATAATAATATCGAAAGTGACAAAATACTGTCGACGCACGTTTTGCCCACGGACGAGTTTTTTTAATTGTCTCGTCAAGAGATATTTTCCAAGCCTTTTCTGGCCGATTTTGTGTGTGTGTATGTGTGTGTGTGTATATATATATATATAGCGTACGCGGCGAGCTAAACCCTTACATACGATTGACGGCGGGCGGTAGTAGAGCGAGCGGTGGCAGTGACCCATGACCCGGATCGGAAAATGGGTGCCGGAGGGGCGTGTATGCACACCTCCGCCTGGCGAGGCTGTGAAGGGGTTAGGGTAGGACATCGCCGAGGATCGATTTTCTCTTGGTGGGCTCCCTCCGCCCTCAGCGCACCTTTCCCTCGAAGGGACGGCGGATCGAAGAGCGAGAGAGGGTTCTTGCACAGAGAGTGAGAGAGAAAAAGAGAGAGAGAGAGGAGCGAGTGAATGAGAATGGATATGAGGAAGGTAAAGAGAGAAAGAGAAGGTGTGTGTGTGTATGTGCACGGGAGGAAGAGTGTGTCACTTCAAAAGAGGGGAATGTAGAAGAGACTGAGGAGAGAAAGGAAGACAAGAGATAAAGAGGGATAAAGCGGCGGAGAGAGAGAGAGAGAGAAAAAGAGGGAGCGCAAGCCCGGCCGAACCCAGGAATGAACGCGGTCCGATCGAAAAAGGAAGTTGACACTGTGTGTCGAAGTGGCTCCGACACTGATAACGTTATTGGCTCGTATTCTGTCAGCGTATCTAAGCGCTAAGAGCAACTTGGCTGATTTCACGCTCGCGTGTCTGTTTACCGTACATCTTCCCTCTCTCTCTCTCTCTCTCTCTCACGTTTGGGAGAAGAAATGTGTCGAGGAAAGATTGGTCGGTTCGAAATATATACACACACACACACACAGACGCGAATATAATTCTAGTACGTTTGTTGCTTTTAGCAACGAGATACGCGCGTTATCGCGCGCGATTCCCGAACACACGAAATCGATGCAAAATATATGTGTATACACGACAATACACGTTTTTATCCTGGAAAAAAAATCCCGTTCTAAAGTAGTTGCGGAGAGATTCGTTTGCAAAAACCCGCGCCGATGCGGTCGATACGCGGCATCGACGATTTCGCGCGACTGATATAATTACACAAATCTGATGAATATCGCATTGCGAGTCGTAAGAGAAGATCGACTATATATATATATGTATATGACAACGCGGTTTATAATTACCCCGCGGTGTTTTAAACCGCGGGGATGAATATGTCAGGGGAAGAGAGAGATGAGATATATCGCGCAATATGTTACACGATGTTTTACACGAGAGAGATTGATTGATACACAGTCCGGTATCAATTACAGGCAATTACAGTAATTTGGCAACATCGCGCGTACACACGAACAAGAGAGAATAACAAAGTCAAATTCGGGGCAGCGCGTTTGTTATTTTATATGCGATAACACACACACACACACACACTCATACACACATACAGACACACTTTGCCATCGAGTCTGGTTAGGTTACAGCGAGAGAACATTGAAGTTTTAATGAAATCGTCGTCGTCGTTGTCGCTCGGATTATTTTTTTCTTTACAAAACGACCATCGTCAAAGACAAAAGAGCGAAGAAGAAACGCTTCCGTCCGACGACGCGTTTTAAATACGCGTTTTTCCGCTCTCTCTCTCTCTCTCTCTTTCTGGCTGTGTTTTTCGAACAAAAATCCCGTATATTAAAAATTCCGGATGAATCTTCCAGCTGACGCTTCCCGAGAGAAAAGACGCGAAAAAAGCGCGTTAAAAACGTTCGATCGTGGGATTTTTCGCACTTGCGACTCGATTTTTCTTTCCCCTTCTTCACGCAGTGAACCACGTGATCGCGCTCGCCGATTTGTATCGGGTTGCTGCGATCACGTGGTTCGCTGCGCGCACAAAGGGGAAAAACTCCCACGATCTTGCATCAGTGATCATTTGGACTACGTTCGATCGTTATTTTGTTCTCGCGATCGTACAAACGCTCTTCTCTCTTGTCGTTATTACAAGATCGATTCTGTATAAAAATCATGCGCACAATCGTTTTCTCGTCTTCGCGAGATTCCGCATCGAATTCTGATCGTCGCACGTACGTAGATAAAATTTATCACAGACCCATTAATCCTCACGCGATACAAGTAAAAATCTGTTTCTGTGCACGCGTGTCTACGCGTCGCTGTTACATTCGCGCGACACCGGAGAAACACGCGCGACGATGTCGAAAATCGAATTCGCACATCGTACGTAGAACTAGACGACGCGTTTTCGACGACCACACGCGAACGGTTGGCGGAGTGGCTCTCGCGATAACGACGCGGTTGATTGACGATGATTGTTATCATGGATGCCTCGACATCGATCGAATCTAGTTCAATTTGATTACGACGACGTCATATTGCTTGTATTGTTCCTCGCGCGCGTGCGAACATATAGATTTTTTCTCCCGTTACGACCTTTTACGCGACCGTTTACTCCAATTACACACGTTCAACGCGCGAATTTTGTCCGAGATTGGAATTTGATATTATTTCGTACAATATATCTTTCGCGAACTTTCGATAACGAGAAGAAACGTTTTGTAACGAGTTTCTCGCAAATTTGTTTAACCCGATTGCGATTTAATTTGCGATCTGTCCCATTAGTCTGGGACAAGGTCGCGCTCGAGGAGGTTCAGGCTCCCGATAAAAACTCCGAGAACTCCGTCTATTCGGCTCGTAATGTCCGGGCATCACCGCGCGAGTCTCGATCGCATGTTATAAGGCGAAGGGGGTTGAAACATGCATTGAGAAACGTGTCGCGCGCAATGGATGGAATATTCGTGAAATTGTTGCGAATGCCACGGCACGTAGCTGAATAAATATTTTAGAAAGTAAATGTTACATGTTTGTTGTTTACACTCGAAGAAACAAAAAAGAAACAAATTGTAAAAGAGAAGAAAACAAACTGCGGCAGTAATGTCGAAGAGTTTATCGCGAGAGGGGTGGTTTTACACGAACAAAATATCTACAGATGTAAAAAAAACAAAAAAAAACTATCACCTTTTGTAACACTTTCACAACTCTCTTCTAATTCCTTGTGTTTTGTGTTTCAGTTTTCTAGATAAGGTAGCGATCGTAAAACAACCGGACTACACGCCCACGGAACAGGTGATTATCATCTCTTCTCCATCTTTTATCTCCGAGAGGAGCGGACGCCGCGTGTCGAGATGTCGTAATTAGACATCGAGATTTGTTTGTTTGTTTGTTTTTTGTTGTCTCTCAAGATTTCTCTTGGCGCTTTTTTTTGTTAATGTGCATATTTTTTTTTATTCTATTTGGAACGAATTTACATTTCGAGACGCACCGATTTCGTCGCGCGTATGTATCTGTGTTTTTTTTTTGTTTTCAGGACATCTTGAGGTGTCGAGTCCTAACGTCTGGCATTTTTGAGACGCGGTTTCAGGTCGACAAAGTAAACTTTCAGTAAGTCCTAAAGCGCGAGACACAAACACACACGCTTACCCTTACGCGGATGCTGTGTCGTAGGCGCGTGCTTCGCTCCAATGTCGTGTGTGTGTGTGCGCGTGTATGTGTGTGACTATATATAGCCGACGTATTACAGTAACATCGGCTGACGGTAAATATAAACGCACAACGGCAGTGTGGCGGCGGCGCGCGCGCTCTCTCTCTTAGACCTAAAGCGCCTAGGCATCATCCTCACCACCACCTTTCATGTACATCGCGCACCGGGCAAGAACTCGCGCGCACACCATTGTATAAACGTGTGTGAGCTGAAATCCATTAACCGCGTTAACGCCTCCGCAACTTTGTAACATTTTCCCTTTTTGCGTTCACTCGCAGGTCACGTACGGCGCTTCACATTATTTTCTATAGGCCCACCCGTCGTCTCTCTTTCTTTGTCGCTTCTCCTTCTGCATATCCCGTTTCTCACAGTCTCCCGAGCGTTTTCAACCGGCCTCGATGAATCCAACGCGAATCTCTCATCTCCAACTGTGTTAAATTAGACCGTTCGTTTCGCGCGAACTCGTGTAATAATTTGTTTTCAGTTTGAAAAAAAAAAAAAAAAACGTGTACAGCGTAAAACATTTGAAACGTCGGAGAGGCTTGTTCGACGATCGTCTCACGACACGATCTTTGTAATTTGACGTAGCGACAAGAAAAAAATTCCCGTTCGTAGTTTTCATCGTTTCCTCTCATTTTCTTTGCAGCATGTTCGACGTCGGTGGACAGCGCGACGAGAGAAGAAAATGGATACAGTGCTTTAACGACGTTACGGCAATTATATTTGTTACGGCGTGTAGTAGTTACAATATGGTACTCAGAGAAGATCCCACAAAGTTGAGACTCCGAGAGAGTCTCGATCTCTTCAAAAGTATTTGGAACAATCGGTATGTTTTTTTTTGTGTTTTTTTTTTTTCGTTTCGTCTCGAGCGTGTTAAATTCCGTGTGAATTTGGTTTCGATGCTCTTTTTTGCAGATGGCTACGCACCATTTCCGTGATCCTGTTTTTGAACAAGCAGGATCTACTGGCGGAGAAAGTCAAAGCGGGCAAGCACAAATTGGAAGATTATTTTCCGGAATTTGCGCGCTATCAGACACCGTCGGAACCGGGAGTGGTGATAGATCCCACGGAACAACCTGACGTCATAAGGGCCAAGTACTTTATCAGAGATGAATTTCTTGTAAGTACAGCGTTGCACTGTCGATCGTATTTCGCTATGTTCGATCAGGATCCGTTTCTCTCTCTCTCTCTGACACATGGGACATTCCGTTTGTTTTTTCAGCGCATAAGTACTGCGAGCGGTGACGGCAAGCACTACTGCTATCCGCATTTCACGTGCGCCGTCGACACGGAGAATATCAAAAGAGTGTTCAACGATTGCCGGGACATCATCCAGCGGATGCACCTGCGTCAATACGAGCTGTTGTGACTTCGTTCCTGTCAACGTCTCTTGTTATCCATCAATTCTGACCGTGTTCGCGCTCGTGTTGCGTCCCGAGTTGCCATTACCGCGGTAGTCGCGCGAGAAACGTGCGAGCAAGATGTGAACGGCGTTTGTGAGCAGCGTTCGCAAGCCCGCAAGACTCGTCGCGAGGGCACGTGTGCTGCGAGTCGCATTCGAGTATCGCGCGCGCAGGAGGGGCTTCCTTGTCAGTCCAGAGAGCGCAATCACGGATGATGAGATCGCGCTCTCGAGATCGAGAGAGCTCGCGTTAAAGCGAGAAGAACACCGAGAGTGTGTGACACACAACCGAGAGTGATTCTCCGCGATCGCAAACTCGATCGACGTTTTTCCCCTTGATAAAAAAAAAAAAAAAAGAGACAAAGAGCCGGCGCGCCAAGCGCCGTCTGTGAAACCCTGTTTCTCGCGCGAACAAAACGCTTGTTCCCGCGTGGAAAGAAATAAAAAGAAAAAAAACGTCGCGCAAACCCGCGAGCGAAACGGCACGCCGACCGCGTGTTTCCGTTCCGCGATCGTTCGACGGAAACAGTCGAGTCGGCGGCTCCTTCTCGAGCGGATGTTTATACATACATATATATGTATATATTCTCAGACGTGTTTGTATATACATATATATATATATATATATATATACACTATATATATACTATATATATATATATGTATATATATATACTATATATATATATATAGTATATTCCCGGTCACTCGACTCTCCCCTGAATTGAAGAGTGTGCTGAACACTCGTCGTCGTCCGAAATGACGGCGGGAAATGAAAACTCTTTTGCGCGATATCGCGCACGCATGTATGAAAAAAAAACCATTACCTCGTAGATTATATTTCTCACACGCGAAATTTTGTTTTTTTTCTCTTCGTAGCGAAAAAATCCGCGGAGAAAATCCTTGATCGTTTCGAAGCCGCCGCGGGGCCAACGTTGTCGTCGGTGATTTTTGGCACTTGTTCTAGTGACGATTCCCCCTCCTCCCCTCGTTCAACACACTCTTGAAAAAAAAAAAAAAAAACACGTGAGTTTAATAATCGTTCAACTTTAACTTTATAGGGATAAAGTTATATATGTTTCCTTAAGACTAAGGCAAACCTCTCTGGTATTTAACAAACAAGAGAGAGAAAAAAAGTTTTATCGTTTTTAAAAAAAATTTTTTTTTTTTATATTTGTTTTTTGAATCTCCAATTTATCTTCGTCTCGCTGTCCTTCTCACATCTCGCTTAGAATCTCTGCGCCTGTTATATTTTCCCTTGTTTTTCTTTATTTTTTTTTTTTTTTTTTTTTTTTTTTTTTTTTTTTTTTTTTTTTTTTTTTTTTTGTTTCTCGTTTGTGTGTGTCTTTCCGAATCTCACTTGTCTTTTTTTGGATTTTTTATTATATTACATTGGCCCGACCCGATAAAAATCACACACACAGCCGCGCCCTTTCTACGAGAAGAGTATTTTGTGAGATTTTACAGTATTTCGAAGAGCGTTTTAATTATATAACTATGTATCGAGAGAGAAAGAGAGAGAGAGAGAGAGAGAGAAAGAGAGAGTATGTGTAAACAGGGTGACCGTCCACGGATTTTTATCGTTTTTACGTACGTTTCTTACAATCGAGGTCTCTTATCATATCGATATGAATTTTTTCTGTTTTGTTTTTACAGAGACACCGTAATTCGATTTTTATCCTTTGATTTCTCCGTACTTAGGTACGTGCGCTACCGACAAACAGCAATTGTGTTCGCACCGCGACCTAGTCCGCGTATAAGGAAACGCGTCACATTCGAGCCCCACGTCATGTTTTCCATTTCGTTGTACGACGTTTTACTTTTTTTTTCTTTTTTTTTTTCTGTCACCTTTGCGTAAAATATTTTCGCGTTACCTTCGCGTCTCGCTCTCGAAATAGAGAGAGAGAGAGAGAGATCGTCTTGCACCGATTAAATATCGTACAAATCTTCACGCGACTGACGCGACAGTCTGTCACATGCGGATTATTTTTCATGGTAAATGTTCCAAAGAAAGAAAAAAAAAGGATGAGAGAAAGACCGATGCGCGCGCAAAAAAAAAAGCAAAACTCATGTCCCTCGCGCGTCACCACCGAAGTTGCATTCACTTTTTTCCTCGTCGTCGCTACTTGGACACCCTGATAATATAATGCGGTAAGCTAAATGCTTATTATCTCTGCCAGCTTTCCTTCGAATTCAATTCCGTATATTTCGATTGGCATTTGTATACATATGTGTGTGCGTGCGCGCGCGCATATATATATGTGTATATGAAATGAAACGATAGAAAATATACCTGCGCGCGCCAATAATACATATACATAGATCAAACAAATAGTAGCGAGCAAAAATCGACAGCCACATGATTTGTTGTGTCCTATCGAAGTGCGGAAACCAGATATTTTTTAGCTACGACATTTACACGCAATTTAAGCATTTGTGCAAATTTATAGAGATTAATTATATATATATATATATGTATAAATGACTTTGTAAAAAGATGCAACTATTTTTTTATGACACGTATTGAGTTTTGAAATTCGGAAGTCAAGAAAGAAGAGATTGATCGCTACTGTCTAACGCGAAGAGAAGAATCACACCGTAATATTTATCAAAAAAAAAAAAAAAACGCCAACTTCGATCTTTGCAAAAATCAGAAATCACGTACGTGGTCTATGTGCATATATCATTGTGTGCTTCAATGCGAAAAATCTAGCCGCAAATAAAAATACGCGATGCGTAACAGTCTGTCTTGTTCGGGATGAAATTTTGCTTAACTTTCGTTCGTGTCGCAAAGGCTAAGCTCTCAAACGCCAATTAAAAACGCGATGAAAACAAAAAGTTCGCGAGAGTTAGAAGAAACGAGCGTAAACATTTCAAGAGTTTACGCCGCGTAACACGCCGCCATGAGCGAAAACGTAATTTCTATTCTTCTCTGTGAATTAATTGATCGATATGCTGTGCGAGTCTCTTCGCAATACGAATCTTTTTACACCATGACGTAAATCGCACAATTACAAAAGCAAAAAATCGTCTATTCCTCGATTTGTGTCACGAAACGATTCGATCTCAGAATTTTCAGATCGTCTCGAAGAAAGAAATCATGGTGCGTTGTGTCTCTTTTTGAACAACCGCGCAATCTTTTATGATTTTTTTTTTTTTAACTCACCGTTTTATTCAGCGGTATCGCTGAGGTTTCTCTCTCGTCTTGTGTTTGACACACATTACCGAAGTAATAAAAAAAAACTACTAAAGTACACGCGCGATTCACGTATACATACACACACACATATATATACATATTTAATATACACTTGCCAAGTCTCGACGAGAATTTTCGGAGCGTCACATAACAAGTGTTTTCTATACATGTCCATTATTTACTACGTAACTGTAACTTCACTATATAATATCGATGTTGGTGTACAAATATATGTAGTGACACAAGGAAAGTGTAATCTCACGTCGCAGGACACACTGTATCCTCTTTGTTCACTTTACGTCAAAGTATCTCATTTCTTAAAAAGAAAAAAGAAAGAGAAAAAATCTCACATTATTATTTTACAAACACAAGAGAGTTGTCCTGTTACGTACTTTGTATATGTGTACAGTTACATCAGTCGTACTAGTACAACAACAAGACACAAGCCATAGTTTATTATATTGCATTATTTATAACTTTGCGCGAAATGTTATTTTTATTATGACGGAAAGGGGGAAAGAGGGGGGAGAGAGAGAGATAGAGAGAGTGTGTATGTGTGTGTGTGTGTCTGTGTGAGCGAGTGAGTGAGTGAGTGAATGAGTGTAACATGAGCGTGAAGCCAAAAAAAAAAAGAAGAGAATCTCTTTTCGCGATTTATTATTTAATACTTCCATATGGAAACAATTTAAACGTTCACATCCGGCACAAAGTCAAGTGAGAGAGCGAATGCAATCGAGTATAACTGACTATCTCATTATTGAGAAGAGACTATTCTTGTATATATACACACGTATTGTATTTATATATACTTTTTTCTCTTTTCTTTTTCCTCTGCAACAGACGATTTCGCATCGCAATTTCTGGTAGCGACGTCGAATGGAAAAAAAAAAAAAGAACAATTAGCGCGTGCTAAAGAGACGTGATAACAATAGAGTATCTATCGTTAATGATCGAGACAGAAGGTGTATGACACGCAAGGACAGTGTGTGTATGTCGCTGTATTATTCACAAGAGAGAGAGGAAAGAAAGAATTCACGAATGGTTGAATCATCGTTTGTGCGTGTGTGTGGGTGAGTGCGTGTTGCGTGCATGGACTGAATCGAAGTGAACAACGTAATGTGCCGAATAAGTAACCGATTCACGTGGCCGCGACTACTGTTCACTTTACACATGTAACGACATACATACGTACATATATATGTACATGTATATGTATATATTATATGTATACATACATACACCGAGATCGCACAAGTTTTTCTTTTCCTTTATCGTACGTAAAAAGACGAGCATGTGTATGCGTGCGTGCGTGTGTGTGTGTGTGTAAAAACAAAATATCATGACGCAAGTACGTTATTATTTGTAAATACGATAGCGTTTCCGATTCCGTATTATCGAGGCAAAGCAATGAACGTTTTAATTCATTTCGGCAGAAATCTCGTTTTTTGAGAAAAGAAAATTGCGAGCGACGAGCGACGGGTGTGATGCTTAGGGAAAGGCGCATCGAATTGACGAGAAACGCCGTTTAAAAACGATGGAACGCAGCAGAACTCGATGCTGAAATGTTGTTTAGTCGACGACGCGCGCGCGCGAGCGGTACGTATTTTTTAGTAAAAAAAAAAAAAAAATTAAAAAAACGCAGTCGATGCTACGCAACACAAACGCCAATCGTCAATAGGTGAAAATAATTAAAAAAAAAAAAGAAATTAACGCTGCACGTTGTCCGCGAAGCACATTATTGTTTCGTCTTTAGCAATATTCTTTGTGGACCACGTTGCCAATTATGTAGCCTTAAATAGTGAAAGTGAAAGTAGACTGTGTGTGTGTGTGTATGTATGTGGTGAGTGCATGTGTGTATTTGGAAGTAACGTAACGAAAACGGGGAGTGTACGGAGATTCGAAGCGGCAGCTAATAAGAAGCTCCGATTGTGTCAGCTGTTGTTGCCGCAACTACCATACTCGTGTCAGAATTTTACGATCTGTGCGTGTCGAGACGAAAAACTCAAGATTGTAACGCAACAAATCTATAAAAGGAAACGATGAAATTGTACTTGTTTTAGACAAACGCATTGAGAATGTCAAAAAACTTGGAGAAAATTTATCTGCGGAGTTGTTGCAATTCGGATCGCGTACACAATCTGTTGTTGTGTACACAATCACGCGATAGTTGCGGCTTCAGCGGATGTCACTGTCCGATGACTAATCGGAAGAATTTCCACGCGCGATGGAAAAGTAAAACGGAAAACGTTTTTACGAATAAGTCGCGATAAAAAAAAAACAAAAAAAAAGATTAGAGCGAATCATTATATTGTCGTTACGCTGTTATTCGATTAAAAAAAAAAAAAAAAGAAAAAAAAAAGAAAAAAACAATCTCCTCTACGCTCGCAGTGTCGACTCGAATTAAAAGTAGATAGTATATATATATACACATATATATACATCGTTGTAATATTAACTATTACCGTCATCGTGACGATAATGACTATATCGTGTGGCGATCGTTGTTTAGAAACTGACTTACTGGGAGTAGCGATTTGTGTGTGAGTTCTTCTTCGTGAACGCCCCCCAAATGTTCGACAGAACATCGCAGAAGTTAAAAATCGCGCGCGAAATCTCGAAATATTTATATTTGAAATATGAAAAATTGCGAAGCGCGTGATATTTTGTGACGCGCGACGTGTCACTTCGCTTTTGTTTGATGAAAAAAAAAAAAAAGAAAAACAATCACGGAAGCGATTTTTGCGTCTCAAAAATCAAATTCTTCAACGAGACGCTAATATTTAAGTTTGAAAATTGTTTCGAAGAACAAAAACCAAATCAAAAAAAAAATCTAATTGTAGCGAATATCAGAGCTTTTAGTCTTTCACTATCACTCGGAGAACGTTGAAGAAAAGAGCGAGCGCGTGCAATAAGAGAATTCTCGCGCGAGACGAAATCGCGTGCGCGAGAAACAAAAAGAAAAAGAAACCACCATCTGTCACGAATGAACCGTGTGTGTGCATTCGACGATTATTAGTTTTTATATAGCAAGAGAGATATAAATTGTTATTAGCTAATATTTTCGTTTTGGATGGTTTCATCGACGGAATCCGGGAGGAGTTTCTCGTTTTATATTATTATTCGGAAGTGTTTGTTGTTTAAGTCCGATGTGTTGCGTATATATATATATGTATAT